AAGCCTGGAAGTGAAAGGAGAAAGAAGAGAAAGCTACTCAAAAATATTCCTAAGGGGGTATATCTATGATAGCTTTCCTCAGACTGGCACTCTCTACATGTGTAGGATTACAACTCTCCTCTTTGTCACCATTGACCATTTGAAGGATGGAGTTATACTCTTACACAGGTACACAGCTGACACAAGAACTAAAGCCAGATTGAAGGTGGTTTGGTTTTAACCATGTTTGATTGAGTCACTGGTTAAGACCCCTGGGGAAAAAATGGCAAGATTGTGTTGAGAGATGGGGTGGATCTGAAATGGGAAGGCAAAATTCTGTTTTGTTTTTTAAGTTAAGTAATAGGTTTAACATGATTAAAAAGCCTACAAACCGCCATGCTATGACCAAAGAAAAATCAAGCCATTCAACACTTGGAAGCTTGGGTCTATTAAGAAGTCGAAAAAATAATTATTTTTTTAAAATGTGGAAATTGGGAAGAAGTGTCACAGAAGCATAAGCGCTAATTAAAGTTGAGGATATAAGGATTTAAGGACATTGGAAGCCTAGAAAGACATCTAATAGATAGATGGAGATCTGTTCAGTGCATGTAATGAAACCATCTTTGAAAAGCTGGAGAAGGGACAATATTCAGAACTGATCTAAACTATAGTAGCATTTACCACAAGAGAGTGTATGAATCTAGAATGTTAAATGGTTTATATCAACAATGAGGGTAGGTGGGGAACGCTTGCAATGGACAAACGTATTGGACTTCTAAAGCAGTGCTTCCCAACCTTGGGTCCCCAGATGTTCTTGGACTACAACTCCCAGAAATCCTGGCCAGCACAGCAAGTGGGGTGAGGGCTTCAGGGAATTTTAGCCCAAGATTATCTGGGGACCCACAGTTGGAAACCACTCCTCTAGTGCCAAACAAAAAAATCCAGCATTGGGAGGTGCCAATGGTAAAGGTAAAGGTTCCCCGTGACCATTTTTGTCCAGTCGTGTTCGACTCTAGGGGGCGGTGCTCATCCCCGTTTCCAAGCCATAGAGCCAGCGTTTGTCTGAAGACAATCTTCTGTGGTCACATGGCCAGTGCAACTTAGATACGGAACGCTGTTACCTTCCCACCGAGGCGGTCCCTATTGATCTACTTGCATTTGCATGCTTTCGAACTGCTAGGTTGGCGGGAGCTGGGACAAGCGAGGGGCGCTCACTCCGTTGCGTGGCTTCGATCTTATGACTGCTGGTCCTCCGACCCTGCAGCACAGGCTTCTGCGGTTTAGCCCGCAGCGCCACCACGTCCCTCTGGGAGGTGCCAATGGCTGCAGTATTAATATTTATGCTGTTTTTCAACTAAGGAATTTGAAGTGATTTGCAGAGATGGATGGGTGGCTAAATAGCTAGATAATGGAGGTCAGATTAAGAATCCAAATTTCTATCCTGAATCCTATAAGCAGCAAGGAAAGGTACCCAATGACTCTAGAGTGCTGTTGGACATTGCAGAGTCCTGTGAAGGCTCTTGTGAGGTCAAGTAAAAGTGTTTGTTTGACATGGCTGAAAAGAAAACTGCACAAGGACATTCACAACTACAGTCAGTCGAAATGTCCTACCTGGTACCACAGCAGCTGCCCACCAACTACAATAGGAAGCTTGCAGGGGACAGATGACCATTGTTCTTGACAACTTCCAAACTCACTCTTGTCCATCTTCACACGAGATCTGTACCTTAAAGACGAAGTACTCGCCACCTGTTCAAGAGTATTCAATGATCTCGTGGGAAGGATGGATTCAACCTTCCTACTGGATCTAATGGCTCAGGTCCATTATTCAGTACCTTGACTAGCAGACTGGAAAGTTGTGGGACTGGTTTGAGAAAGAAGGAAAGAGAGCATAAGCATATATATCCTTGATCTTCGTTCATAAAGAGCAAGCAAGGAATGATAATAATAACAATAAGGAATGTGACGATCCTCCCACAGTCAACACTGAAAGGGAACAAAGGAGAGGAAATTGGGATTTGAGAAAGGCAAGGAAGTATCTGGAAGCCAGAGAGAAAAGGGGAATAACCAGCAGAAAACCAAAGAGACAAGAAGATGCTGGAATTTTTTTGTCACCACACAAGGTAGGTGGTAATGAAAGACTGAGAGCAATAGCATTAGAGGAGAGTGCAAGATCAGTTTTAAGTGGATGAGCTACTGACGTTGCCCAATTCTGCCCGGATTATTCTACAGGGGCATTGACATTCCAGCGTCGTCATCTTCACATGCATCTTTTATTTGGAAAGAAAAAGAGATTACAGTAGAAGATCCCCAAAAGAATCCAAAATTTAAGAACAGCACTATATAGATTGAACGAGGCGTTGGGGCAAAGTTACAAATTAAAGGGGTAGTTGGAAAAAAAAGGGACTATAGATGTTAGAGATGTAAAGTAAGGTCATATCTATTCCCACGCTTTAGGAGTATCAGTGAGTTTCCAGCATGCTTGCCATGAATGTATTCCCATAATTACAGCCTGCGGACTCATCCCTGAGGATTTTTTGCCTCAAGGGATGATCCATGGAGAAACACCCTTCGATTCCTACCTGGAGGTGAAGTTTGATATAATGGACCAACCCATAGTTCTTGTCCACAGAAAATTCCATTACGGGCTGCGTTTATATGGAGACTGCGTACAGTGCAGCTGTACAGAATCTCCTCTTGATGTGCTAAGTCTACCATTCAATGCCAGGCTAAAAAGGGATTCCACAGCAAGACGGGCAAAGGCATTGGTGAGCCCTACTCACCAGTATAGAGAATAATGGGCGAGAGGTCTAGTCAATGGCCCAGGTCACAATGGGCCATTGACTAGGCAGGCCCACTTAGAGGCCATTTGTGGTACAGACTGTGTGAGCCAACGCTTTATGCATCATCTGACCCAGACATGTTAAAATGAAGAGTGCAAAGAAAGCAGGATGGAGGCATTAAGCACCAGTTATTCTGCCTTTTCAGGAAGGCAAAATAACTCTGCGTGACTCATGGTATTCGTAGTAGCAAAGGCAGCTTCATCCTCCTTGCAGCACAGCTCAAATCATCCTCTAAATACTTCCCCAAATTTCCTCATACAATGGCTCTCAAGTCCAGACGGCCTCTGATATTCCTGCAGCATGTTGGCTGAAACAATCATTGGGGGAGTCCTCTGTTCATCTCTCATGCAGATACCAATTTGTACACAAAGAAAAACCCTCTGTACCTCTGCCTTCTGTAGGAACAACAATGCTGAACTGCTAATCTAGAGGATGATGGGGATTAGGCATGACAAATGCTATGGGCACTAGAAAGTTAGTGTTATTGCTCCTGATGTGTGCAGAGAGCTATGCATGAAGATGGCCTCTCCTGTCATCTTCCACGATGGGAGAAGCCCCACAACAACGGGAATGCAGATGGGGCTCCAGTGCAATGCAAGCCATGGCTCTCAGCTGACTGTTTTATCCCTCTCTTTTGTTGGCTGTTTGTTGTTGATCTTTTTGCATGGTTGCTAGTATGTGTGCAGTAGAGAAAGCAGTATACACAAGTCGGTAATTTCAAGCAACAAAATTCCATGGGGTTTTAGATCCAAGCTAGTCTGCCATTAATTACAGGGTTTCAGGCGTAGCACTTTTTGAAGGACATTGTCATGATAGTATGTCATCTATTTTGGTTCATTCACAACCAACCTATAATTGATACATAGATTACTTACTGGAAACTCTCAATAATATATTTGATTATTCCTCAGGAAGGGACTTCTGAAACAGCAGGAAGGAGAAAGAACAGGGGCATGCAACTCAGTTCCTCAAAAACCCAGGTGGAGGGACATAGATTTAAGATGGACATACATTTTGCTCACCCAATTTTGGAAATTTGCACAGTGTGGTTTATGAGGGTTGGTGTTGTCACGATGCTCAGCCAATACAAAGCTGAGCTGTGACGTGATGCCCTGCACGCAGATGTTTAGCCAATGTTTAAACAACAGGCATAGAAGGGGAAAAATTAACATATTTCCTTAAAACAACGGATGTGTCTTAAGAAGGTGCTGGTCAAAACAATGCAACTGAAAAAGAAAAGAACAAAACAAAATGAAGCAAACCCACAACTGAATTGGCAACGACATCACCATTTTTACAAATTAAAATTTCAAGCGAGAAATGCACACTTGTATTAACACTAGGAAGAGCAAGAGACAATATCAGAGGTATGTGTTTTTAATAAAGCAAATAGGTGCTGCAACATGCAGTATTCGTAAAACTTGACAACATGTACAGACCTCTGAAGAGGAAAAATATATATATATGTATATATTTATAATCAGAACCAGAGTCCAGATATTTAAAGACAATGTATACACAAACGTTTTGATAAAACCTATCAATTGTACAGAATATATAAAAAGAAGAGCAGTTCCCGCCCCCCCGGTTTCCTTTCCAACCGGACAAAAAGCGACAAAGAGGTTTTCCCCGAAGTGGTTGGGCCCAGCTTGGAGTCTTTCGGAGGGTAAGTGACACACACACACCAGTTATGTGCCTCGCACACGTACCCCAAGCAACTCCTGCTTTAACTATAACTCCATGGGGCACAGCGGAGAGCCAGTAATTTCCAATTCACCTACTGCAGGAAGTTTTCGTTTGTTCCAAAGTCGGTAAGGTGTGGGAGGGGGGGAGAAACGAGAGGTCTTGTGGGGTGTTGCCACGAACACATAGGGAGTTGCATATTGTTTTGTATCTGAGCTCCTTGTGTGATTGTACACAGTGGTGCAAAACAGGAAGGGGCGGGAATTCCTTCCCGAGAACAAAGATGAATGGCTTGGGATACTGCTGTCAATCAAGATTTTTTTTTTTTGCCAAACATGTTCTAAATGGAAAAAAGGTGTGTCGAGAGACTGTCCAGGTGGGATAATGAAGGTTCTCATGTGGGTGAATGGGAATCTTTGTTCTCCATAGAAGACCAAAGATACTTTCACCCAAAGGGGCAAAACATTTTATTGCAATAGAACTTTGGGGGGGGGGGGGGGNGGAGAGACTTTCTGGGTCTTTAGGCGACCAAAATGCCCCCCATTGAAGAAAACCCACTGGCCTTGTCTTAAAAAGCTGCTTCTCTTCCTGAGGGAAATTTACAATGTGTGTCAAATGAGGACACGCAAAGCTTAGGATATGTACTTTAAGCAAAAAATTTTTATTTTTATTTTTATTTTTTTCAATTAAGGGACAAAATGGGTTGAATGAACAGGGTAATGCAGACAACTGCCCAATTCAAAACAAAACAAAACAAAAAAAGGAAACCCCCCTTTAAAAAACAAAAAAACCCAAAAACACAGACAGTGGTTTTCCCAATAGAACTTAACAAAGACTAGGAAAAAAAAATACAATAAAAGATCCAGGTTGCCAATGACCTTTGGTCATCTAAATAATAATTAAAAAAAATTAAAAAAAAACACAAAGATCAAATCCGACGCTTCTGTTCTGAACAGAGCGTGTAAGCAATAATAAATAGTGACTTCCATAGTAAAAGATAAAATTTCAAGTTACGACAAACAGCTTTCATTACAGGAATAGAAAAGGCCGAGAATAACAAAATATTTTGCATTGCCATATACAAAAAAAGATATCCACTCCAGCGGGGCTTTCTCTCATTTTTAATATGCTTTGCATATGAAATCCTTTCCGATCTAAATATATAAAGCACCATTTTATTTTATTTTTTTTTCTTTTTGGCAATGGAAAAAAAATCCTGCAAAACTTTTTGATTTTTTCTCTCTCACTTTTTGTTCTATTTTTTAATGTTGTTTTTTTTTCTCTTCCTTTTACTGCATATGAAGTTTAAGATGCTGGAATGTAAAGGGGTAAGAGAAGAAGGAAAAAAGACCAGAGAGCACACTACAGAACAAATAAACATCATCACCTTGCATTATTACTGCATACAAATATGGCAGCAGGAAACAAAGAAACCCCCAAAAGAATTTTGATATGTACAACCATCTGCGGACGCTCATTTAATGCGACATTCAAACAGATTTTTGCCCGGACCCCCCCAACCCTCCCCAAAACAGCCATTATATGGCCTCTGATCCATACAATGTCACGCTCTTCTTGTCAAATTTTTTTTTTGAAACATACAAATATTTTGCACTATATTATCCTGCCAAATTAAAAAAATATACTGTGGCAGCTTGTTTGCGTGTCTGTGTGTGTCTGTGTGTTTTTCCACCACCAAAAAAGGTACACGGATACCTTCTTTTTTTTTTAAAGAGAAACAAGCAACAGTTAAAAATACAAGCTTCATTATAAATACTATAGTGCCTACTCTAGCTGAACATTAAATTCAAATACCATTCTAGAAATTACAGAAAAAAGAGATCATAAATGTGTTTTTCTTCTTCTTTTTTGTTTGCTTCTTTCTTCTTCTTAGCATAGGAACCAATAGGTGTGTGCATTTTCCTATATTTAAGTACTATATATTCTTAAACTTTTCCCCAATGCATTTATTTATTTTACAACCTGAAAAAGTTGTGTGTATATTTCAAGGCATAGAATTTGCAACTACTGGTTTTCGGTGAAGAACAGGTCTTGTAAACCACCAAGACAATGAAACCGAAAATACATATTTTCCCCCTTAAACATAATGAAGTGTTGTTGGGTTTTTTTTAAAAAAAATCATAACATTTATATTTTAAAAAGTTTTGTACAAAAAAAAAAACCCTAACCACATCCATGCACTGTAGGTGCGAGTTCAACCATTCATTATTTTTACTATCATTGCAGAACCTATTCCCACTCACAGCGCCGTAAACGTTGCATCCCGGTCATTTAAGTCAAGTACAACGGCAAGCTGGCAGAGTTTCTCAAATGCTCCTCTTGAGATCATGCTCAAAAAAAAATTTTTTTTAAACAAAGTTTTCATTAATCTTGCAATTTTTCCCTTAAAAAGTATAGAACCTGTAAACTGGGAAAATTGTACAGTGCATTTAAATTGTCCTATCTGAGCAGTCTTTAAAAAAAATTATTTTTTTTATACTCAACCTGTGTACCTCTGATTACAGGAAAAGATACAGACACAACAGGCAGAGTCAAGTGCTATGTGAACATCCAGCGGGACAGATCATTAATCATAAAAAACAATGAATCCTTTTTCCATGTCAACACAATTCGCACATAGCATATGATCAACAGAACAAAATGAAAAAAAAAACACAACTTTTAGGGAGCACAGACACACAACTGCTACTCTGTTTAAAATTATCTTTCTCTTTTTTTTTTCTCCAGAAAGTCACACTTCAAGGCAAATCTTAATAGTTCAAAGTTAATCATCATATCAATATTAGCTTATAACCTGTTCTTAGTCTGACTGGCAAACAGTACCACATTGTGCTGATAAATCATAGACCTTTTTTTTCCTTTCTTTTTATACATGTCACACTCAGTAAATGATTATTGTCCAAATGTTTATGTATCTTTCCCCATAGAGAGAGATCAATAGATCAATAGATGGTATTCAAGGCTTTTAATTTCTAATCCAATTGTCAAGTTGACAACCAATGGGACTCGGGTTTAATTATTTTCATTTCTTTTCCTCTTTGTTTTTTTTAAATTTTCCCTTTTTGTTTGTGTGCCAGAATTATTAAAAGATATTTGTGAAATCTTCATAACACACGTTTTCTTCCTAGTGTATTAAATTATCTTCCAAGGCCTTCTGCACATTCCACATTCTTTTGACTCATTAAAATAATCATCATAATTTCAAAAGAGGGGAGCGAAAGGGGGAATGGGTGCTGGTGGGTGATGGGCGTTCCAAGAGACGGTAACCACGGTTTTCTAACTGAGAATAAATCTGGTTTAGGGTGGTGGTATTTTTAAAATCGGGATGAAGGTGCTGTGGTGGGGGAAGAGACAGAATGATGATTAACTAGGACCGTTCGGGATTTTACTTTTATTTTTGTTAATTTCCTTTTGTTTTTAGGTAGCCACTGTTATGAGAAATACAATATAGTTATCGGCTAACGTCCTAAGGACTCACTTACATTGCCCAGTGCGAAAGTTGAGCTACAAGTTTAGAACAAGTAGAATCGCCACCAACATGGCTTAAATAGATTCAAGGCACTCAGAATTCCGTTTTTAAACCAAATGATAGTACAAATTTATCTTGCTGTTGTTGTTTTATGTCGTTATTTTTCAATTAAAGGCCTATTTTTAAAAAATTCTCCCCTCCGCACCACAACAACAACTGATACGTTAAATCCTTTTAAAGACAGAAATCAAGGTAAGACCATGGATTTTTTTTTCTCCTTTCCAATATTATCTGTCTGGCCATAGAGGCTTAATTCAAAGTACAATTTCTTCTGTATAATTCAAAGCAAAACTGTACATGATATATGTGAAAAAAACGTATGGTTCCGTTCTGTTAAAAATTGTTGTTCTGTATTTTCTATCTCTCTCATTCTTTTTTTCTTCTTCTTCTGGAGTCCTACTGGAAATAGCCACGGTACTTCCGTGTGTGTATGAAGTATGTGCCATTATCTTTCTGTTTTGGTTGTTGTTGTTTGCTCGGCAACAAATTTGGAATTTTTTTTCTTAAAAAAAAAAACAAAAAACAAGCCATACCATACCATACATGCTGTCTAATTTTTTTAAAAAAATTAATAAACAACACAACATGTAAATTATTGCACAAGAGAAAGGCTCAAAGTTTGCGTAGTATTGCCCCAATACAGATCATGCATTCAAATGGTGAAAACAGAACAAAGGGGGAAAAATATATAAAAATAAGAACTAAAAAAAGGCAAATGAAAACAGGTGTGCTGGTGACAAGCACTTTCTTAATATCATCCTTAGCTTCCATTATTTGAATCACAAGGGACTAGAAAAATCTCTATACGGGGAGTGGTGCTAGGTTGGGTTAGGTGGGTGGGGGGAGAAAGAGTAAACTGGAAAGGAAGAAGAACGGGACATGTTAATATACCTCTATTCAGTTTTTATGTCATTATTCAAGACTCGGTCACTGTGCCATTTTTTCATGTGTTTTTCCAGGGTACTGTACACGCTAAAAGGCATCTTACAAATTTCACATTTGTAAACGTCCTTCCCCACCTGACCATGCGTTTTCATGTGCCTGGTGAGTTTGCTACTCTGGGCGCAGGCGTAGTTACACAGCTCACATTTATAAGGCCTTTCCCCAGTGTGGCTTCTCCTGTGGACAGTGAGGTTACTACAGTTCTTGAAGACTTTCCCACAGTACTCACAAGTATCGCTGCGTCTGCCCTCTTTTGAACTAGGCCTTCCGGGGCCTGGGCCACTAATATGCGGGGTGCTCCCTCCACTTCCTGTACCGCTGCGGCCTGATATCCCTCCATCCATCTCTCCAGGAGGCGTCGAGAAGCGTAAACTCCCGTTTTCGGAGGAGTGTTCTGAGGAGGAAGCAAAAGGCGATTGTCGGGAGTCTCCAAAGTTGAGGAATGGATCTTTGAGCTGCCGAGAGGCAGCGTACCCAGCTAGCCACTGGGAGTAAACATTTTCAGTGTTAGGCATAGCTGTCGGAGGGAGATCAAACTCCTTCTCCAGTTTGATGCGTTTGGAGAAAGGGCTGAGAGAGCTTGGGCTACCCAGGAGAAGCTTTTTGGACAAATCTCCAGAAGCGGACTCACCCGGGGAGCAACCCCGACCGTTTATCGCGCCGTCGTCGATCCGATCGGATTCACCCGCTACCGAGTCTTCGTCGCAAGTGTCTCTGTGTACCTCAGATTCGGACAAATGCCCTCGTTTATGTTTCTCTCCAAGAACCTGGTGGAAGGCCTCGCTGAAGTGCTGCATGGAACTCAGGACCATTCCCTGCATGACGTCCGGCATAGAGCGATTCTCCTCAATGGACCGCGAGTTGTTCTCATGATGGCGGGCCGCTTCTAGGTTAATGCCAAACCCATAGTCCGGCCTTTCGTTTTCTGTCAAATCCTCCTCCTCCTCTTCTTCCTCCTCCTCCTCCTCTTCCTCCTCCTCCTCCTCTTCTTCATCCCCGTTTTCCGGAATCATATTGGAATCATTCTCGCTCTTGAACTTGGCCACCACCGATTTGAGGGCGCTGCTGGCGCTGCCCACGAGGTCACTTGTACCAGGCTCCGGGGAACTGGCCGTGGAGAGGCCGTCGTCCGACTTCACGGTCATCGGGGAGGATTTGTGCATATGGGTTTTCATGTGGCGCTTTAGCTTGCTCGCCTGAGTGCAGGCGTGGTCGCAAAGGTTGCACTTGTATGGTTTTTCTCCAGTGTGGCTCCTACGGTGGACAACTAAGTTACTCTGAAACTTGAAGGTTTTCCCACAAAATTCGCAGGACTTGGATTTGACGGGAGGCTGGGAAGGGGGAGGAGCGGACTGAAGAGGAGGAAGAGGCGGCGTGGCCAGAAATGGCGGCTTGCTGCCTGGCTGGAATGGTTGCAGTAACCTTTGCATAGGACTGGGACGGTTGGGGGATAACGGCGGACTGGAGGTGTTCCCAGCTAACTCCCGAAGCCGCCTGGAGAAATCCATAGCTGGGGGCTCTATGGCCATGGGGTTGAGTCGCAGCACCCTGTCGAAGGCACTGGGGTGATGGGTTGCAAGAGCCATCTCTTCCGCCCCCAGGCGCTCTATGCGGTGGGGATCCAGGTGATGCCTCGGAGGGGGGCTAAACAAAGGCGGCGTGGGAGGGAAACGCCCTTCTCCAAGACCCGAAGCTTCCCTCGCAACCGACCCAGGTATTCTGAGTAGATTAAAAGGATTATTGTCTGCAAGGTGTATCCCGTGGAGTGGAGGCTGAGAAGGGCATTCTGCACCTAGTCCGGAGGGGATACCAACCCGTGGCGTCAGGGGACTTCCATGTTCGCTTTCTAAGTAGATTCTTAATCCATGAGTGTTCTGTGCGTGTTGCAAAAGAAACCAGGCGCTGTTGAATGGCTGTTTACATGTCGTACACGTGTAGCTGCTGGGTTCATCTTTACCTGAAAAACAACACACAGGTAGCATCAATGTTGGTGCAGTCAGGACCGTGGCCTCAAGAACGTAAGGACGAGCCCTCCTGGACCAGACATGAGATTTGTTTGGTTCCCTCATCTTACCTTCCACAACAGTCAACCAGGTGTGTTCAAGGGAGCCTACGAGGAAGACATGAGGAATGAACCCGGACCCTTTGGGATTCTGTGTTATACCCCCTTGGAACATAGAGGATCCAAAGAGCCCCCACCCGCAGCTAGGATTATGGGCCACCTGCCCTAGGTGAATCTGTCTTTAATCAGCCCTAGGTGAATCTGTCTTTAAAGGCAAAGACACCCATGGACACTGCCACATCTTGCAGCTAAATTAATTAAGACGAGGAAGCTTTTTCCCTTCCTGAAATTCAGAACCTGAAAAAACGATAGTTCAAGAAAATAACTTGCCAGATATTCCTACCCACCCCAGGAAGGATGCTGGGTCTTCGACCTTGGTCTGGATTGTTACATGATGAGGCCATAGAGAATTGTCAGAAGAGGCAACTGTTAACTAAGGAATTTAAGAGCCGACTTAGAAAGGACACAGAAGCCAAGGAGACCAATGGTCACTCCGAGTATGAAGCAGCATTATACAAAGTGAAAACATTTTCATAGCATTTTCTTTTTCACTGGTCTGTCTCGCGCAGAAGTATTCATAAACTGAAATGATAGCAAGGATGAGAAGAAGCACCTATCTCGACAGCTGAATGGGAATTTAATAACCTATTCATCCCGAGAATGCAGAACCTGCCCGGATTTGTTAGGGGACACACTAACCCGCTGAGAACTCGCCTAGCATCTCCCTCTTTCTTTGCATGCAGACACAGACAGGCAGACAGACAGAGAGACAAGATATGTTATAAAGAAATAGAGAGGAAGCTAACACATGCATGTGCGCGCACTCTCTCTCACTGCATTAGGCTTTGAATAACAACCAAGGCTTACAATAATATTTGACTACATGGTGTACTTCTAGGTTGACCTGTAATTTATTTTACGGCAGTGTTTATAATCTCACTCGATATAACCCACTTGTGGGCAAATCTTTTTACAAGATTAGATAGCAGATGCCAAAATTAGGTTTCCAAACATATGCCTAATGTACGGGCGGGTGGAGCGAAAGAGGAGGGGAAGGGGCTGAAGGAAAAACGCTGGAGTCCCTATCAAATGATCTTCATTGTTCTTGTTTTCCTCCTCACTTCAAAGAAAAAGAAGAAAAGCGTTATAAAGGGATTTTCATTATACAATGCGCTGAATAAATGACTTTGGAAAATGACAAGCAGGCAGACTTACAGTTATATCCACCGCACCCAGTTTTTTTTCCCACCTTCTTCTCCCCTCTATAGATTCAGTTTCTTCTATTATTATATATATGACACAATCTGTCCATCTGGGCGAGTTAAAAAAAATAAAAGAGGGGTCCATTTAGCCCTTTCTGGCAGGAGAGAAAGAAAGAAAAGGAAAAATTTACCCACTTCTGATTGGTATTTAACATTTTGGTTGCCTTTTTAAAAATACACCTTTGGAATAACATTTACCACTTCATCCTTCCACCCGTGCCAATATTTTAATGAACCACACCGTGGTGTTTAGTGCAAAACATGAGAGGTATCAGTAGATACGCATGTAAATCTTTTGGAAAAAGGTTAAAACTCCTGCAGCTTCTCGGATGTTTGCTTGTGGGCTCAGGATTAGTACGAGGGTGGTAGTTTGAGAAAGGCGAAACGGGTAGTTTACAGAAGCCAAGCTTGGAAAGGTAGACAGCAACGCAGCTAAGTTTTATTTTTCTCTTGCAACCAAACGCTTTTACAAGACCTCCCGCCCCAAGTGACACGATCAGACAGCCCCACTAACAATGCAGGGCCTCCCCTCTTCTGCCAGCTTATATATTAGGTCAGTGGAAATAGCACTGTATCTCATAATGAGGACACAACATACAGTTTTTGTAATTGCATTTTAGCGCTCCCATCAACTAGATATTCTGGATCAGGAGGGCAGCTGGTATAATCATAATGTCAATGAGAAAGGCTGTTACGGCAGAGAGTAAAGATTACATGACGAGAGAAGGGGGAGCAGCTTCGGAACTGGTAATTATTACCAGTCCACTAATAGCAAATGATGCATTACAGTTTCACCATATAATCTGTATTTCAATTCAGCACCTCACCAAGGCAGTGGATTATATTAAAGGATTCACAATGCAGAATTCTTACTCTGCCATCATCAATAAAGGCACTATGTCCCATAATTTGGTAAAATGGTGTTTTTTTTCACAACATCTTCAACTTTTGTAAAAGCTAGAATCGATTTCTTAAATAACAAAAAATATATATTTAAAGGCATTATGGATTGACTGGCGTTGACACAAAATGTAATATTTTTTCGAGATTTAAAAAAAAGGGACTGGGAGATGAGATGGAAAGAGACAGAGAGTTAGGGGGTGATAAAACACATAAGCCAGACCAGCAAGACAGTTAAAATCCTTGAATGATTTACCTCTCGCTCTGAAGAAACATAGTTTCTGATTTTTCTATGAGCACTTGATTAATTATGAAAGCTATTGACTGACCATTTTATCTTCTAGAGATGTTTTAACAGTCAATGCAAGATTGCTAATGTGTTAAAGCTTTAAAAAAAAGTACAGCGAAGGAAGGAAGAAAGGAAGGAAGGAAGGAAGGAAGGAAGGAAGGTGGTCGTTATACAACAGCCGTCGGATCCCAGCCATGAAAGCCTTTGAGAATACAAGGAAAGAAGCTGTTGATGAGCTTTAAGTGGCAATATTTTTTTTATCCAGGTGGCACTATGGATGCCACATTAACTCTTTCAAAGCTTGCTCTTTCCAACTGCTTCCCCAGATATGCTTAACCCCACAACCCCCAGGCAACAAACCAATGACTGCTGCCTAAGGATTATGAAGCTTGTAGTCCAACAGATGTTGTCTAGACTCCAATGGGACTAGGAATCACAGCCAAAGGCAGGGGGGTAATGAATGGGATTTGCAGTCTAACATCTGTTGGGTGACACATTCCCCCATCCTTGTTTTACTGTACATTCCCAGCAGGGAAAGATTACTGAATGATGTGGCCAAAGGCAGGGGGTAATGAATGGGACTTGCAGTCTAACATCTGTTGGGTGACGCATTCCCCCATCCTTGCTTTACTGTACATTCCCAGCAGGGAAAGATGACTGACTCTTCGTGACCCCATGGACCAGAGCATGCCAGGCCCTCTTGTCCTCCACTGCCTCCCGGAATTGGGTCAAATTCATCTTGGTCGCTGATGTGTGTGGACATCTGCTAAATTCCCTAAATGAAATTTTCCAAATGCCGGAAGAGTAACTCCAGACAAACCATTCTGCAATTGACACCACCATCAGCTCTCCTGAGAATCAAGGGTAACGATACTAGTCTGCAGGAGTACTAAACCAGGTGACCTCCACCGGTGGCCAATCCTTGCCCATAGAGCCCAAACCACAGAGCCTGCTCCTTCTTCCAATGTTGAGGGCACCCACCTCAGCACCCGCATCTCCCTGTATGAGTCTGCTCAGGTGTTCCGATCATCAGGAGAGGCCTTTCCCTCAACCCCACTACCATCACAGGTGCATTGGATTGAGATACAGAAGAGGGCCTTCTCTGTGGCTGCTCCCAGACTTTGGAACTCCCTCCCACAAGAGGCCAGGTTGGCTTTGTTATCCTTCTGCAGGCAAGCTTTCCCTCAGTGACTGGCTGCCTGAGTAGAGTTGCTGAACGGATTGCTGAGCCTTACTGCTTTGAATGTGGTTTTGGTGTTGTTTTCGCTTACCATTTTGCAGTGTGGCATTTGACCCCCCCTGTCGTAGTTGTATACTTACTGCTTTTAGTTTTAAATGTTGTCTTTTAATGATGTGAGCCACACTTATATCTCCTTTTTTAAGGAGAAAGGCAGGGTAAAAATAACATCCATCCATCCAGGGGAGACATATGGCCAACATCAGCCATAGCAACCCCTTCTTTATCCCTCTTCAGGTTAGACTTGCTTGCACAGAATGGTCACACTTACACGGGAGCACTTGTTGCTTTCTTCCCATAGAATTCAATGTGACGGCAGAGGACATTTTCCTCCTGACACGCACGCTCTCCATGGGTTCCTGCTTGTGCACAGAGCCTATATAGTGGTGCCTCGCTTAACAGCATAATCCGTTCCAGGAAAATCGCCGTTAAGCGAAAACATCGTAAAGCAAAAATAAAAAGCCCATTGAAACACACTGAAAACCTTTCAATGCATTCCAATGGGCTTAAAACTCACTGTCCAGCGAAGATCCTCCATTTTCGCTGCCATTTTCGCTGCCTGTATGGCGAGGAATCCGTCCCTAAACACAGCGGGGAGCCATTTTATTTATCCGGTGGCCATTTCGAAACCGCCGATCAGCTGTTGGAAAATCATCGTTTTGCGAAGAATCAGTTCCCGAAGCAGGGAACCGATCATCAGAAAGCAAAATTCCCCCATTTAGACCATCGTTTTGCGATCGCAGTGGCAATCGCAAAAAGATCATCGTAATGCAGATTCAGCAATCGCAATTGCAATCACAAAAATATCAGCGTAATGCAGATTCATCGTAATGCAGGGCAAACGTAAAGCGAGGCACCACTGTACATGGACAGAAAGCTCTCCTCCACAGATGGGTCACCTTCCAGATGGATCCAGATCATCCTTCTGTCTAACTGTAATCATGTCGTCAGTGTATGTAAGGCCCAAAGAGAGGTATCGTGTTTAACACACACCCTTCCCTTGGGCAAACGTAAAGCGAGGCACCACTGTACATGGACAGAAAGCTCTCCTCCACAGATGGGTCACCTTCCAGATGGATCCAGATCATCCTTCTGTCTAACTGTAATCATGTCGTCAGTGTATGTAAGGCCCAAAGAGAGGTATCGTGTTTAACACACACCCTTCCCTTGTTAGGCTAGGGACGTTGCTGCTACAAACTCAGGAGAG